TGCACACGCACACAACCACATTCGCGTAGTATTTGGTTGTTTGCTTTATCCTTCGGACATGAGTGCCAATCTGAAGCTTATCGGGGCCCTAGACAAGTGCGCTTGAGATTTCTTTCTCACATTGTCTGTCCGGAGTCTCTGTCTTGTCCACCTTCTCCTTTCCATCCGCTCCACGCCTTTGTGTACCAGTTCGGCAATAGCGGTCCAAATGCAATAACCCCATTGCAAGCTCGCCAAAGCCTAGCTGTATCTACGGCCAATTCCAAGACTGAGTCATACTGACACGGTTTGCAATCAGTGCCGGCCGCTGTGGTGACGGTATGAGTCGGCAGGTCGGCCGGACGGCCGGTACAAATTGGGTCTTGCCTGTGATATAACGCCGGCCAGATGGTTTCTACCCCACCGATACGGCCTCTGATATGCACACACCTACACACAGACACGAAAACATGCGGCAACATGTCTAATTGCTTCACTGACTGGCATCACTAGGCTCACATCGCTGTCCTATTCTGGCCTAGTCTTGGACGAGGCCATGCGGACAGGCCAAGATACACAAATTCCACTTGTCACACAACCTGCTTTTCCCACAAATCTGTCCGCTCCGCCGTCATAGTTCGGGCCGGCTACACTGTCCGATCCCATCTGGCTAATCATGCTGGCCGACTTTGGACATAGCTCGTTGCCCGTGCAAACACTAGAGGCATCTGTAGCTCTCCTCGTCACACCCAGCTGCATGATCACCATAACTGTTTCACAACATAGCACATTTCCTATTAGCAATTGGCATAAAAGCTATCAGTTTGAGATTTACATTCTCTTATCTGTGACCGCTGCAACAGAGATGACTGAATTCATGTGATTCGCGAGTTCAACTTTAGTCAAAAGCCAACACACATGTATGCTTAGCCATACATCAGCTAGATCACACACGCACACACACACACGTATGCATAGGTAAACACACATCCGCAAACACACACATACATTTATGCGTACATTCCACATACACAGTCATAGATACATGCGTAGGTATGCACGCACAGACAGCTAATGAAAGCTGGGTTTCAAAGACTCAGTCTTTTGAGGCAATGATCAGGAAATGAACCAAAATAGGAACTTTATTAACCCTATTTTGTTAATGGGAATGAAGAACTGACAGTTGAAGTTGTCCACAATCATATGAGTAGGCCTGCCACGAGTGCTCATGGGGCACATGACAGGAGTGAATTTCAAGAAAACCTAGGCCTTTCCCACATCAAATTTCTGTGCGGGGGATATGGAAAAAACAATATTGTATTTACATTACCTATTTTCCAATTATAAGTGGGTGCCGAGATTACCAGTAGATCTGATACAAAAACTGTATTCAAAGTATTTCGTTTATGATTATTGGTGTATGATAGCTAAATTTTCCCACAAGCATGTGAACAGGCCTCCTGCTCCCGATGTATGTCGCATATCCTTGTTCCCCAAAAGGTGATCTCATACAGGATGGACTGCAGCTTCAACCCAGCCTAAGTCTGGTCAGCGCCCCCAGTGGGACTCGAACTCGGGTTGTGTTGATGCAGTGTACAGCCTCGACATATTAACCAATTTGCCAGACTACCAAGAGTTTTCTTGGGTCAAAAGAAAGAAGTGAATTCAAAGTAGTCCCATACCTTTGAGATATGACATTTTTCCGATGGGCTCGTCGACGAAACAAAGCTATAGTTACTATGGCAATCGATATTATTACTCCTTTCCATTTTCTAAGTAAGTTTCCGAGACTAGTAGTATATCTTGAATAAGACATGTGTTTGCCCTATTTCGTTTTATGGTGACAAAAAACTGGGCTTAATTTAACGAATTTAGACTATAAGCTGTGCTACGCGAGTTCGAGTCCCGCTGTGGGGTGCTGATAAAACCTATGCGAGGTCGAAATCGCAGTCCACGCTGAAGAAAAATGCCTTCTGCGAAGCAGAACTATGTAAAATTCAACGACAACTTAAGACCCAACCATACGATTGTGGGAAAATAAAAATGCCGGCGAACACATTTCTTATAAATTTTAAATATTCCTTCTAAACGAAATTGAGATGTTCACTTTGCTTCCGATCTTGTCGGTATGCAAGTATTTACTCTTTGATAGTAATCCTAACCCCGGGTGTAAGATGGAAGGGTCAGGTTGAGCCTAAAAATCTCGAATCATTACCAAGAATACATGATGTGGTGGATTGTCCGTTTGTGTCATCAGTCACTTCCTGAGTTCGAGCCCCGTTGATACTTCTGGCATAGCTCTGGAGCTCTTAGTGCAACGAAATTGAATGAACAACTCATGTTACACTCAGGCTAACAGGAAGTATTTAAGTGGAGTTTCGAGACTACCAGTAAATCAGTAGTATGAGATGTATTCACCCAATTTAGTTTATGCTGATGAAGGGTGAATACATTTCATATTACTGATTTACTGGTAGTCTCGAAACTCCACTTAAATACGAAAAATAGGTTTTTATAGCAAATATACGTTTTCTTCATCGAAAACCCCACACAAGATAATGATATGGCAAAAGGCCTGGCATTCCTTGAAATTCACATTTGCCCTGTTAACCAAGGTCACTATTGGCAATATGGCCGAGTGCCAAGCTCCCATTCTGCACTGTCACAGTTCGACTCCCGCTGAGTGTGTTGATAAGACCAATGCGAGGTTGAAACTGCAGTCCACTGGTGCCTGGATGAGATCAACTTTTGGGAAAGCAGGGCTATGTGAAATTCAATGGAAACGTCAGCTCTATTCATATGATTGTGGAAAAATTCTACTACCAGTCCTTCATCACCTTTAACGAAATTGTGTGAATACATCTCATATAACAGGACGTAAATTCACAAGTCCATTTGCCAAACTGGCTTCTTATCAATCCGATCTCCGATATTTGTGACTGAATCATAACTCGCACAGTAGTCAGTCAGGCAATGAACAACTTTGAAAACTATTAGCTTCGCTGGAAACACTCACTTTTATTGGACAAGGATATAATTTTGCCTTCATGTGTAACGCACTTACATTCATTCTCCTATCGCTGGACCAAGTCGATCCAACAATTCGATACTATTCTGAAGGTAGGCTGCTGTAGGCATATATTAAGTGTTTCACGGAGGCATTTAAGTTTTACTCGCGTTTTCGCATCCTTCTAAAGTTCAGTTGTTGCAACGAAAAAATGTTTAACTTAAGACTTTAGTATATTGGCAAAAATATGGAGAAAAGAATCTCTTAATGTCCATATTTATGCGGCACCTCAGAATTCGTCCAGCCGAGCTGTACACTGTTCACTTACACTGTTCACTTACCCAAGGCAAAAGTAGTGTGTGTTCGAAAGTGAAGAGCATTAGGCCGCAATTTAGCTTCTTTGCTGAGTTCACGCTTCATTCAGTTTTCTAGCTATCTGTATGCCTTATCTAGTGCTTGAATTTCCGCGAAATCTAAGCGAAGCCCAGATTTTGCAAATGTATGTCAAATTAAACTGGGTTTCGATGGATCTCGTGCGATAACACCGTTCGACAGACTTGCATTTCCAATTCTTAGATGAGATTTGGTTGTCATCGTCACCAGAATCATATGGCCGTTTCCAGTTGCTATACAATCGCGTGGTGCTGGTATGATGTTCCGTTTAACGAGTTCCACAGGACATCATTCTTCGGTTTTAATGATAATGGGCTGAGATAATTAAAAAAAAAGGATAACTCAGCTCGTCGGCTCGTATTCATTCAACGCATCTGGTAAGCTCATCAACCGCACTAAAGTAACATTCAGGAGGAAAAAATCCCATTCGTGCTTTTCCTTGGATTTTTACGCCTCGATGACCATTTTAGCTTAATTATGACTAGCATGCACACTTATACGCGCTCAAACAAAAAATCACTTAGGTTGACATTAAATTGGTGAAAAGTAACACTTTGTGTCTATATCTATTTTTTTTCTTGTGTCATTTTTATGTCAGTAAGGACATTACATCAGGCTTAAATGGACTATAAGCCATATTTAGTTTATGTTTGAGAAGCCAATTTAAGACTTACTGCTTTCTTGTCAAAGTCGGAAGTCCTCTTTTTATGACTTTGTGAAAAATGCAATCATCTTTGTCTGCGGTCTTCCCAAGCCCTTTATTGAACTTGAATTATTTCTGCGTCCAACTTGACCTAAACACACTAGCAAGCCTCCTTTTACTTCACATGAAGGTATCAATAAGACTGGAGAATTTAGATTCCATATCATTGTATACTTTGGCATTCTGTATGTAGTTAGATGTCAACTGGTTGCCACTTGATTTGAAGAACGAGATTTCGTTCCCAATTGCTGGTATTATTAAGACTAAGATAAACTTGAAGGTGAGGACTATGAGTGTTAAGAAGAACATTTGATATGTAAAAATGTAATGGAAAATGGAGCTTTCTCTTATTTTCTTGACACATCATACATATATATATATATGGGGACCACTGCTCTTATAAAAATTTCACATTATTATAACTTTACTGAATTATAAAAAAGTAGCTTGCCTCTATTGGTGAGCTAAATATAATTCCTCAGCCAACAATGAAAGGATCATGCGTTTCTAGTTTGAAAAATTCTTAGCCTTGCCGCTACTATCGAGGTCCACGGTCCGACTCTGGAAAGGATCATGCATACTAAGAACTCCGGACAAGATGCTTTCCTCAAGGTCTTACTGTAAATATGACCAAGTTGCGAAAGCAATTTCAAACGATTGCTATACATTAAAATTACATTAATCTTGGTTTTCATATATCTGAAGGGAATTCTTTTACTTTCTTTGAAAAAATTTTTTTATTATTGAGGTGCGAACTGTAAATTTGCATCAAAAGTGCAATTGATGGTGCTGTTATTAACCAGGTCGTCATTCTGTTTGGAGTAGCTAGGGGCTATTAAATTTCATGATTTCAGATAACTAAATTAGTTGAAATTCTTTAATGGAACTCTTAAGAAGTTATAGGCTCTTGATATGATAAAGTGATGCATTAATTGTAGCTCCGATTTGGGATCTTTATGCAAAGTGAGTCTGTGTGTGACGTGCAGTTTGGTGGAAAATATTCACATTCCTGGTGGCCGGAAATGCATCAATACATCGTTTTTTTCTCACTAGAATAAAAGTAATTATTAAAGTTAATAGAGTGTCACTGTAAAGACTGATTTTTTTATACTAGAATTAGCGTGATTGTATTCAGTGAATCATACAATATTTTCGCATTATTTTTGGCTAATTTAAATGGATTATGCTATAAATCAAAAGAAACTTTGAAACCCTCCTTAATCAGTTATTTCGAATAAGGGCATTTTATTTACCTATTTTGAAGCCAGACACTGCGCTAGACTTAAGCTTAGTGACGTATTGCTTGAACTGTTTTTGTCCAGTTTTATTCATATTTTTTGTGCTGGTCTGGTCTGGTCTTCGAAAGTAGGCTTTGATCATGATAATGCCGTAAATGATACTGTTTTTTCGGGTAATGTAGTTCTAATTAAATGCGAACCATGTAGCCAATATGACTATTATAAATGCATTACGTAGCAGACTTAATGCCGGTTATTTATGAACGTTGTGTTTATGATACATAATTACGCTCTTCAGTGCACTTACCGCCATCTCTAGCAAGGAAATAAGCTTTCTGCATATTAAGAATCGGCAGCTTCAAAATAATATAAATATCTTAAGTCAGCTGCTTTAGAGAAGCTCGACGGTGTTCGTTAATCACTGTTG